TATATATATATATATATATATATATATATATATAAATTATTCATGCTTGTGAAAAAATCGAAAATTAGAGAGCAGAAGCAACAAAGATTTGATTGGGAATGAGTATATCAATAATTCTTCTGTTTACACATTCTGTCACTTATAATCATCATCTTTTCTGCTTCAGAGTCATTTGCCAGGATTTTATGACCCAAGTCCAACAGAACCGAAAATGCTACTAGTTATTTACAAATATAAAGATAAGATGCATTCCGTTTCCGTTCCAGACGAAGTTCCTTTGCATATACCAATGATGTGTGAGTTTTTTAGATATGTCAACAAAAAAATTTGAATTTTATTAATGCAACCTGAAATTATGCTGTTTTAGTACACTGATAATTCTTGCAGTCATCGTGCTTCTCTGATGTTCTCTCTCATAATTTTTTCCTAATATGAGATCCCATGTTAAATTGCTAGAAATGCATCATATAGGCATGTAATGAGGGAAAGTCAGTTGATGTACTACCTTGGTATCTTTTTAATAAAATTCTTTATTTCAGCTCATCGGGTATCACTCTGACAATAAATATGTTGTATTGCAACACTAGCCTCAGTGGTCCTAATGGTGTAGTGTATCAGTATGTTATTCTATGGTGCGTGATCATTGATTTCATCGCAGATAATTTTTCTTATTGTTTCATAGTTGACTCTTGGAGTGCCTGTCTTGTAATCGTATTTGTTGGAATTATTAATTTACAAATCAGTGCTGTTTTGGCACAAACTGAATACTTCAGTTACGATTATTAGAAATGCACTAGCTCATCTTATGTTCAGCTGTAGGAAAAAAGTAGCCATAAAGTTAGTACTGTGATAATCACTTGCAACTTTTTTGGAAAGCTTTAATTTAGTATTTTAAAGTGCTCCTTAACCTGAGTTGTAAGTGGAGTGAGTGTGAAAATTACTCAAGTAGTAAATGTTAGGTGAATTTAATATTGCTGTTGCCATTATAAACTTAAGTGTTGACTTCATTAACAAATACATTTTTGGTTGTTTGTTATGTAGTTTAGCATTATTTCTTCTGGCAACAAAAATAGTAGGTGTCAAATGAGGTACTCGAACACTCATTCTGCTGCATGTCCTTGTGTTTATTTAGATATCATGTTTGTGAGACTTTTTTACAAAAATCTCTTGTAAATTATTGTAAAAAGTCTGCCTTTTTTACATTTCACTAAAGGCTTTTGTTATTTATGCTCAAAAACAGAAAATCATCAATATTAATGCATCATATTGACATTTTCAGCATGTTGATGTCACGAACATTTTTAAAATTTCATTTATATAGCATGGAAAATTGACGTTGAATCGCATTGTTTGTATGCGTGGCGCATATATGGTATGCAGTAGGTGATGATGGTGGACAGTTAAATTTAAGAATTTAAGTCTGATCTTTGATTTCATTCAGAGATGTGGTTTTACTTATTGCTAGAATGAGATTTATATGTTTAAAATGTTTTGGAGATTTGTTATCTTGTTTGTTGGTTTTTACCGTTATGTTGTTTGGATTATCGACCGCATTAAATATTGTTAACTGAATTTACTGGTCCTACAGTGTTGGCTTCGTTCAGTATTGTGATTTTCTCCATTCGCTTAATGCCTATATATGCGAGTTATTATCATGTCACTATGTCTGAGTGTTGGATGAAGGTCAAGGTTAGATATTATTTGACTGAAATGATGAGGTGAGAAAATACTAGAAAGAAAGGATGGAACATGTATGAGTCATGACCATTCTGCTGGTTTGCGGGGTGTTGGTAGTATTGCACGGGTGAGTGGAGATGGTAGTGCATATTTGAGAAGGTAGGTAGGTTAGTTTCATTTGTTACGTGGTGAGTATAATTAAATTGTTTTTGAACTTTCCCACTTTTGTGGCTCAATTTTTTTCTGTTTAATTTTAAGTTATAATTCTCTGTATGAGAATTATAACTTAAAATTTCTCTACTTTGATTTTTAACTGTGGACGATGTACTTTGAAATTTTCTTTGCTTCTATAACATCATGAAGTTCAAGTGATCATACTACCTACCTAACTTTCATTGTTATAAGAACTTATTTGCATGTCAGTTACACTTCTTCGAAATTTACAGTTGCTATGTAATTTGGTCGACTTGCAAAATTCTATTGGAAAATACCGTCCATTTTATTGGAGAAAATATACCCAACTGGTTGATATTGTAACTGTAGGATTTCTCATGAGAGATGATTATGTTTTTTCTCTTATTATTTAATCCATGTTTTTAGTACGTTTAAGTTGTAGGATATTTGTCACTTAGACACGCTTCTAGCATTGTTGCCGGGTAAAGCGAGATAAAAAATATTTCTCAATTTTTTTCTTGGATTTTGCAGATTTCATAGCCTTAGAAGTCACACGTACTAAAAGTACTAATACGTACTACGCAATGTCAAAAAGATTGAATAACCCATTACCATCAGCTCCAGAAAATGAAGATTCATTAACCGGTAGTACTGATCAAACTGATATGTCGATGCCACCTCAATATTCAGCTCACCCTCAACTGTACGACACCAGACCATTGTCTTATAATGTTGGATTAGATCCATATGGGTGAGCTTGTATGTTGTGTCTCTATAAATATTTGAGAGTTAGTGCTCATCTTAAATTTATTTCTAAAGCGACTTTTATCTGTTGTGATTGATCAGGCGTATTTCATTTATGTTGATTTAGTGCCAGTATGTTTTAGGATAAATATATCGTATAGTGATAACATTTATTTCATCTTTTCCTTAATATTTTAATATCTTTACATTTAACTAAATAGAAATTAAAGTATTTCGAGATAAATATACTTCGCCATAATTTTGCTCGTTTTCAAAAACTGTGTGACTCACTCAGTAACAGAAAATGAAAAAAAAGTTGTGAAATGTAGTGCTGATTAAAAAAATATGTAGTACACATTTATTCATTTTGAGGTTGATATTGTTTGCAGTGTACGTCCTCCTTCATATCAAGCAGCAATGGCATATCCAGCCGTTTCCGAACCGTATTCAGTGAATGTAAATAGCACAGCATGTCCAGTACCTTACTCTGCTTTCGCTCCTCAGATTCCTAATGAGATATATCCGAAACCACCTCCCTTACGTTAGCTATAATTTTGTCAATATCTCATTTTAGTTTTGTCTTTAATGACAAATGCAATTACAAGTTTTCTAAAAAACTTTTTTTCAAACGAAGTAATTGTATGTGTAATATTCTCAGGAAATTTTGTCGGAAGATATAGTTTTGTATCAAACAAAAACTGTTTGGTTCAGATTGCACATCAGTTCAGTAGCAAATAAATCTCTGCATGATTCAATTCTTAATTTCTAATTTGAAATGCATGAACTTTCAATAATTTAATTAACTGTGGATTTTACATTGTAATACTGTTTAATTCTTTAGACATGCTAAAGCATTATTTTAGTCCCTTTATCTTTTCCAGTACGAAATGGAGAGTTACCAGCACCAATACCATCAGTGCCACGGCAAAGACAAGGGAATTGCTCCTTTTGTGGTGTTAGTTATTAATTTTACTGCTAGCTAAAAAAAAGTGAGCTACTGTTAACTTTGAGTTTATCAAAGTTTTATGCGTTTCTTTTGCTGTTAGCAAAAATAATATTTTATTTGATAGCTTGAATATGATTTAATTTTGAAGTGATAATAGTGTAAGTTATTAATTTTGAGTTTAATATCACCTTGGTTGTTATTTTTCAGGTTGGCAATGTTTCTAGACAGACGGACTTATGCTGCTTGATATGTTTGATATTTCTATCACTTTGCACATTCCCCTTTGGTATAATCCTTCTTTGCTTTATTCCTTGCGCATTTCGCCAAAAATGCAGTCATTGTCATCGCTTTGCGTAGGCTCTGATGGATGCAATTTAGTATAGATTTTAAATTTTATTTTGCATGTACATCAGCTGTTCAAGGAAATAATACAATTTGCACGTTAGCATTTCAGTTTTACATCAGTGATGATTTTATATTACCTTCGTAACTTGAATCTAGCTACAGAAACATGTAGCTAGATTCAAGTATACGAAGGTAATATAACATCAAGTTCCATAATATAAGGTCTTATATTGGTTTCAGTAATGTTAACGTGTAAATAAGCCTTATCATATTATTCAAGCGCTTAGTTAATGCCTTCAAGTACATATGCCTTCCCGAATCAGTGTGGATTTTAAATTTATTTTTTCCGTCACCAGGATTTCTTCGATTTAGCATTTCATTTTAATTTCAAACTTTTTTATTACTGCCTATAAACTCATCTATATTTATGATCTGCATATTTCCACTCCAAACACCCCAACATATTTTGGTAAATTTCGGTTCTTAACTGAGTAAGTGTTCCAGTGATTTTTGTGTTATAAATAATATATGGAAATACTTTATTTTAGATAACTTTCGTACGAATTTTATACATTTTTAGAAATGCATGAAAGAAAATGAAGGGTCAGAATGTTACGACTAACACTTCATTTATTAAAAATTTGTCGGAAACAAGTCAAGTTTTCTAGTTCAGTTATTATGATTCTCGAGGTGCCTAATTTTGGTTTGACGAGTGCACTTTACGACTAAAATTCCAATTTTGCCTTTTTCGAACTTTTGTGTAATTGAGGATTGTTTTCATGGGAGTCTCAGTCGTTTCTTGTCTTGATATTAGATGTTTCTAACTGAGTCTTAAATCATTTTTATTCATCCTTAATTTGTCTTTCGATTCCATACTGAAATGTACGCGAAGATAAGATATGTGAATAATTTTTTCAATTCTGTATTTCATAGACTGCAAGTGAATACAATTTCGGTTCTGTGGCTGGCATCTGTTATACTTACGTGCGTTCTTTTCACTTATGCTGATTAACTCTTCTTACTGATTTACATTTGTCATCTGCTTATGATTGTAAGTTATAGTTGATGCAAATTAACTCATTATTATATGTAATTGATGGTATTTCTTGGTGGTTTTTTGATTCTTATGCATGTTCTGGATGTTGCACGAAAATCACTTATTCAAAAATTAAATTATTTTTTATATATTGTTTCAGTAATCATAAAATAATCTTTCTGTTACTTATGAGACAAATCTTATGTCTTGCAACACATTCCTACTTCGTTTTCAAAAAATGGTTGAGAAATTCCTGTAAAAATCGCATACAAATTCTCGAATATGTGATAAAATATATATTGATTTTGTCAATAACTGTAAACTGATGAATATGCTTACTAACAAGTTCTCGATAGCGTTAGGTCCAGTCATTTAAAATATAATTGATCATTTTTAATGATTAAAGTTTATAAGCAGTAAATTATTTGATGGTGTCATTGCAAATCAATGCATATGCAGTTCTTGCAAAATTGACGTAATCCCTCGGAGCGTACTGGTTTAATTGCATTTTCACCCTAGTTTCTCTTACTCTTTGATGTATTTTGCTAGCATATAACGGTCGTAATTGACGGTATTTTTGTAATCAAATACTGAACTGTAATCTCCATGTTCAGTGTTTTTTTGTTTTTGTTTTAATCATAGTGAATTACATTGCTCTACCACCTGCAAAAAAACTCACTCAACAAGTTTGAAGGTATATGGCAAATAGTGATTAAATCAAAGAGAAATTTTTTTTAATGATGAAACACTGAACAAATCAGAGTACAAACAACTCCGTCTTTACTCATTCGTACAGTTTTCTTAGTGAACAAAGGCTGTGCAGATTCTGTATGATGCGCCAGTGATTGATGTATGTGCTAGCATTGAAAAGAGAAATACAAGGAAGTAAAGCGGCTTGTCATTGCTAATATTTTATGATTAAATAGTTTGTCACCATTTGGTCCGCTTTTATTTATACATAAATTGTTTTGAATTAGGAAGGAATTGCAATTGATGTGTAGATTGTCAGGCTATATTTTATTTTTTGGAATGTACTATTGTCTATAGGAATTATTTTTAGTTTTTAGATAAAATTAAAGTAATGTGTGTCTTCTATATAAGCTTTAAAAAAATGAACGAGCAGTAAGAGGTTTCTGAATTTCGGAGTACTTATTGTCATTAATTGCATAATTGTTATATAAACATAAATATAGGAAGTGGCGCACTTAAATCAACCTGTTTTTTGAGAATAGATTGCATGCGCAAAATAATTATTTTTCTAATAATCAATGAGTATTTAATTTTATAACTTTCGTTATTGTTGTCTTTACAATAAACTTTTGGTAATTTATAGTACTGTCAAGTTATCAATCAGCTATATCTTGCAATTGCCAGAATGATGTACTTTCTTGTTTTGTTTCTGTATTTTCTGCAATGAACCAAGTCATAAACTGAAAACAATTCGCGAAATGATAAATTAGAATAATTCATGAACATATCTTCTGTAATTCAGTATAAATTAGTTATCACTGCATTGCTGTGATATTTTGGAAGATGTTTGTTTCTGAATTTGCAACTAAGAGTGATTGGAAGTAAATTATTACCTTTTGATACTGATTTCTACTCAGTCTTTGCATGTTTCAAACGAAGGCTAATGATAAGGTCATTTTTTTATATTTAAATCTGTTAGACAGTTTTCAAATATTTCGCCAATTAATTCTGAAATTTATTCATTGCTAAAAGTAATTATTTATCAATTTGTATAGGTTGCAAGAAAAAGAAAGAGATGTGGGATGTTAGTTGTTAGTGAGATTAGTTTGTAAGCATACTTATTCTTTCATACACAAAATTAATTGAAAAAGACAGTGCAATACAGTAAATTTTGAGAATAATTTTGCAAGAAAAAAAATAAAATGATATTATTAAATGTTATTTTACATAAAGATGCTGAAAATTGAAGAATTTTAATTTTCGGTTGAGAGCAAGAATGGTTGTACGTGCGATATTCGTGAAAAATATTAAAAGATTGAGTTGAATGTAAACAAATGGGAAAATATATAGCAAGTATTCAGAGCTGAGTTGTGTAATTTATGATGATCAGTGAATAAACCATATTTCAACCAACAAGAACCACATTAAAATTTACTCAAATGCATTACTTTTACTCTCACAGTTTTTGTTTTTCAAAATTTCTGAATTGTCTTATTTTAAGCATGGAAGAAATTCACTTCAACTTGGGTATACTTTCATTGGTATTATTTAATGCTTAGAAATATCTAATCATTCTTAAGCGTAAACTGAAAATCAAGCAAGAATGATGCATGAAAATTTGCATAAGAAATGTGCAGGTTTATATGGAAAGCTTAAATTAACTAATTGTTATTCATAGTGAATAAGAAAATTAAATTCATTGTCAGATATTTGTTTCTGAATACTTCACAAGAAAAAGACATCAACTGAATATCTACTTTTTTGATATGAGTATTTGCATATTGTATAATACAAGAATAAAAAATGATGAATTTA